CCTCAAGTCCTTCTCCTCAGGGCTGTTTTCAGTCCATTCCCCGCCCAGCCTGTAGTTGTGCCTGGGATTGTGCCAACCCATGTGCAGGACCTCACACTTGGCCTTGTTGAACTTCATGCGATTCACACGGGCCCACCTCTCCATCCTGTCAAGGTCCCTCAGGATGGCATCCCTTCCCTCCAGCGTGTCGACCCCACCACACAGCTTGGTGTCATCAGCAAACTTGCTGAGGGTGTACTCGATCCCACTGTCCATGTCGCTTCAGAGCTACAGTGTGTCTGCATTGCTGATGTCGGTGCGAGCTAATAAGCTTTGCACAACCTGGCCTAACTTCAGAGGGAAGTGTGTAAGGGACCAGAGCATCGTCCCTGGTTCCAGGAAGGTGATGCAGAGGCATCTGAGCCTGTGCTCTGGAGGTAATTCAAGAACGATGGCTAAACTGCCTCTTCGTGCTAGCTTTAGAACCAGCAGAGCTCTTTGTGCAGCACTGTGCTCTGGCATGTTCTCCTGCTTTGATTATTCTGCATCAGCAATTTTTCTGTGGTAAGTACTGTAGAAGACATCTGTTAGAGCATGGTTATAGCTTAAATATTGAAGATAACCTTGTGTATAGCACCAGGCCGCAACCACAGTGAGCCTACTGTACAAAGCATGGTCTGAACATACTGTAGTGTTTTTTGGTAAAGGTTTTCTGGGATTTGTGGTACTCCAGAGACTGCTTATGGGGAGAGCTAGTTTTTGATTGAAATGCTTATCAGTGTTGAGAATCTTTTTGGATTGTGGGTTTTTTTGTTTTGGTTTTTTTTTTCTTCTCCAGGGAAGGGAGCAGTATATAGCTTTGATCCAGTAGGCTCATACCAGAGAGATTCTTTCAAAGCAGGTGGATCAGCAAGTGCCATGCTGCAACCCTTGCTTGATAACCAGGTAAAATAGTTATCTTTTTTTTTTGAAATGTTGCTTTAATTTTGGGGAATATTACTTTTGAGAGAAGTTTTAAATGTGTTACAGGTAGGACTGTTAATCCATACGTTTGTGAATTGTGTGGTTTACCTTCTCAGGACAAATCAAAAGTTTTGCTTTAGAATCTGTTCAGGTTTTTAATATACTACAAACAGCAGGCTTCCTGTTTAAAATACAGATAAATGTTTTGATTGGGGAATTATGTTTCCCATACAAGCTGTTTGGGGTTTTTTCTGGCTTTTTTTTTTTTTTTTTCTCCTTAACTGATAACATAAATATGTCTGTGTCCTGGTTTCATGTTACTTAGCATGAAATAATAATAAATTAAGAAGATAAAATGTATCATATACACCTACTAATTCTATCACTTAACATAGACTTGTTAAAAGTCTTAAGGTTTGTACAATTCAGACACCATTTTCTAAGAACATTCTTACATAAAACTGTTAGAAATTTATTCAATTAAATCTGTCTAAAAATACTTGAATATTATTTTCATATTTAATTGAAGCTGTTAACTGTTGAATGAGAGAAATACCAAAGCATGTTTTACTCATTTTATTCTCTGACACTAGTATTGGTATTGCTTGATCAGTTGAGCATGATGTCAACACAACTTTTGTGCTTAAAAAAGCAATAAGCCGTGGTTCTTATCAGCTGAAAAAGGAATAGAATCTTTCCTTCCTTTTTTTTTTTTAAACAATTCCAGGTTCTCAGCTTTGACTCAGTTTTGAACTTTAGTTAATAAAGAAAATAAAAATATCTTCTGCAGAAACAAAGTTGTCATAAGTTGCCTTTTATCACTTAGGAGTTTGAGGCATAGTAAGTGACTCTTCCCCCTCCTTTTCCAGTTCTGATGCTTAAGTGGACACTGAAGTTTATCAGCTAAAATACACTGTTTAATAGGACTAGTTATGCTCCAATATAGATTGTTATTTTTTAATTCTAGGTATGTTTGAGAATATTTTAAGAAATGTTCCTAACTACAGAACGTCTAGAGATAAGGCTTGTGTGCTATTCTGATACTGCTAACCCAGTGAGAAGTTTCTGAAAAATTAGATCAGTTCAGATCTGAATGTTCATTGCGATCTTATGTACGCTGAATGGGTGGGAGGAGCTGTACTTGCTTTAACTGGATCTACTACTAGTTACTATTGTAAGAAGATCAGCATTGGCAAAGTTCTGATTGTGCATCTGTAAAGTGTGTGGAGGAATAATACTTTTGCCAGCTTTGAGTTTCTAAGCCAGACCAACTGTTTCTTCTTTTTAGGTTGTCAAAATTTGCTCATTCTAGTGCAGAGACTGAAACAGCTTTCATGCTAGATGGAACACGCTTCCTTTAAATTGCATTTTCTTCTTCCTTAGATTGGTTTCAAGAACATGCAAAATGTGGAACATGTACCGCTGACGCTGGAAAAGGCTTTGCAGCTGGTTAAAGACGTCTTTATTTCTGCTGCCGAGAGAGACGTGTACACTGGAGATGCACTTAAGATTTGCGTTGTCACAAAAGATGGAATTAAAGAGGAAACTGTCCAGTTACGAAGAGACTAATTCAGTTCACTTATAAACATGTAATCTATGATGTACAATTTACCTGTATTAAGATGACATTTGTCTTAATAAATTTTTTCAAGAAGTAATGCTGAATATTTTCTATCTGTGGAAGTGCTAGTGTTTCTTAGAAAACTCTCTTTACCAGAGCAGTTCATGGTGAGGATGAAGCTGAGTGTTAAGAGTCAGTTTGGTTTGTCTCATCTTAATCTATTGATCAATCCAATTCCAATGTCAATTTAGTCCCCTTCTTGCAATCTCTTCTGCTACAACATGGAGGAGTATAAACTTACTAAATTAGGTTCACAGGCTCTTCTGATAATAATTTCAGTTTGGCCTCGGTTTAGTGATAAAAGCGTTTGTTGTGTTTGTGCTGCCTTCTCTGCACTTCATAGCTTACTTTTCCTTTCTTTTCCTTTATCTTTCTGACATGCTGTCTTGGCATTTGACCTCTCTGCACTTACATACAGAGACTATATGAATGAGTCACCTGAAACCAACTTGTCTGCGTAAGGAGGAAGAATGTTAAATGGCATCTTCCTGGCTCTGCATCAGGGCTTACCTCTATGTGTTTCTATTCGGTTAACGTCCACAATTTGAAGCATCATCTTTTTCTGGCTAGTGATGGAAAATAACTTGGTATGGAGATTCCTGGATGCTTGTTACTCTCTGGAGGGTTTGTTAGCCCTACTACTACTTTCAATTCTTGGGAAATTGCATCATGTGTAGACTGTTTATCTGATGTGCTGTATTGCACTCCTGGAAATTGGCTTGAGTACTAGGACCTTCAGAATTGCATCATCAAGGGCAAAGTAACCTCATACCCAGGAATCCTTTCACAGTATGTAGCTATTTAGAAAAGGACATATAAAATCATAGGATCATTTTGGTTGGAAAAGACCTTTAAGATCATAGACTCCAACTGTTAACCTAGCACTGCCAAGTCCACCACTAAGCCGTGTCCCTGAGTGCCACATCTGCACATTTTTTAACCAATCTAAACCTCCCCGGCCCAGTTTGAGGCCATTTTGTCTTGTCCTATTGCTTGTTACTTGGGAGAAGAGACCAACACCCACCAGGCTACACCTTCCTTTCAGGTAGTTGTAGAGGGTGGTAAGGTCTCCCCTCAGCCTCCTTTTCCAGTTTGGCCTCGGTTTAGTGATAAAAGTGTTTGTTGTGTTTGTGCTCCCTTTTCTGCTTCACCATGGTCTTCACCACGGGCTGCAGGGGGATCTCTGCTCCGGCGCCTGGAGCACCTCCTCCCCCTCCTTCTGCACTGACCTTGGTGTCTGCAGAGTTTCTTGCATCTTCTCGCTCCTCTCTCCGGCTGCAAAAGCTCCCTCTCTAGCTGTTTTTTCTTTCTTAAATATGTTATCACAGAGGCGCTGATTGCCTTGGCCTTGGCCAGCGGCGGGGGCCGCTTTGGGGCCGCCGTGCCATGC